AAAAATTGATTCATTAAATATTTTCAGATCAAATTCCTGTTTACTTCCAGTCCCACGTCCAGCAATCCAGGTGTGTCCTTGAGACAGACACATCAGGTCACGAATCGTCTTCTCTCTGTCTTTCCCGTTGTTGTTTTCTCCCGTTCTGCTGAGGCGCCAGAAATGTCAGGTTGTCGTTTACTATTAACTACCAGGAGATGATGTGTCACAATTGTCCTTGTCTTCTGATGTAAGTTTTCTTCTCTCTGTTATGAAGTTTAAGGCTTTGATCTTAAATTTTGTGTATTTTTTGTACTGTTTCGTAAGGTTTTGTGTTAATTTGTTTAATTTTTTTCTCTCGATTTTCCAGTTTTTGTCAGCAGGATAGATGATATGTTTATCTTCCTCTGTTTCATCTTACTCTATGGGAAGAATAATTTTGGCCTGATTTCAAGTCTGTCTGTCTGTGTACCTTAAATTCCTTGGCGTGGAGTTTTAGTGTCTCTGGTATGCGTTCGCTCCTGCTTCTTATAGTTTTAGTAACTTTTATAATTTGAGTTTCTTAGCATTCATAGTTTAGTCTTTAATGTTGTTTATATACAATTGGTAGCAGCTACATATTTTTTTCTAATCTATTTTGTGACTCAAATTTAAATTTTTATTATCATTATTATTTGATTTTAATATATTCAATATTTTTTAACGTAATACGCCATATTTCTTCTCAGTATTCTTGATAGCATCCTAGTCTTGTGGTCTATCTATCTATCTATCTATCTATCTATCTATCTATCTATCTGTCTGTCTGTCTGTCTGTCTGTCTGTCTGTCTGTCATACATCCTTAGATTTAATGTCAATATCATAAATGTTACATGGTAATAGATAACCTTGCATGACAATAAACGTGACTTTATATATGTTAAAAGCGGGATAGACTGCGGTACCTGGGTAAATAATGTGTTTATAATGGTAGTATCTCGTGCACCACCCTCCTCCTAGTAGAATAGTCTCCAATATATCAAGTTCATTACGAGGGACTCACTGAATGGATGAAAAATAACTTAAATAACCAATAAAATTACGTTTTTCATCATCATCGTGACGTGAGGGAAATAAAAATTTAAATTATTCCCAAATAATTGTTCTAGGAAAAATCATAGGTCTTTATTTTTTAGGAGTGATTATTAGGTAATTTTAGCCTCAGAGAATATAAGTAAAATGTCAGAAAGTTTTGTCATTGTTGTATAGTCTCTAACGTTAACCAAGGAAATGATGTAGCCGATGGAGTGCCCTTAAATTCAGGCTTGTCTGCTGTAAAATGAAGAAAATTGAATGGTTTACTTTACAGGGTATTCTTTTGTATTTATTTATTTTTATTTTTATTTTTTTATTATTATTATTATTTTTTTTTTTTAGTGATGGCAGAATTGTAGCTGATAAATTTTGGGAAAACAATGTAGGAAGAGAGGAGTAAGGGGAGAGGAGGTGAAAATACTAAATATATGCTGAATAACTTGACATCCTCCATCATGATATAAAAACGACCCAAAATCCTGGACACACATCTCTTATAATGCTTTAGTGTGCATTTTGTCAGGGGGGTTATGTTAGGTTAGATTAAGTTAGGTTAGATTAGATGATGTTAGGTTAAGTTAGATAAGTTTTTTTGTCTGCAGGGATTATAACAACACACTTCAACATAGGAACTGTATATCACGACTGTACTGTAGCGAAGACATAACAACACCGGGAAGAAGAAAATGTGAAAACTGTGTTATGTAGGATTACACTACTCTGATATGAAACTAAGGAAGGTATGGATCACTTAAAAGCTTTAGAGATGAAGGAAGGAAGGAGAAGATTAATTACGTGGACAGGATGATAAACGAAGCTCTCCTGACGAGGGTTGCAGAGAGAGACAGAACCTATTAAGTGTGATAACAGGAGAAATACTAACTGGATTGGTCGTGTGTTGACAGACGAGGGGCATTTATGGAATGTCAGGGAGAGAAGCGATCGAAGATTGGATTATCGAATTAACTGGAGAATTAATGGATATACGTAGCGTGGAATAAGGAGATAAAGGACAAGGAAAAGTTGGAAGATTGGATACCGATGAGAAGATGACTGAAAAAAATAAAACCTGGGACGAACACCTTGTCGAAAATCAAGTTTTATCTAAGTATTTCAATGGATTTAGAAGCGTGACAAAAATACATTGATGCCTTTAAGAATTCGGAATTATATTGTACAATTCAAAATTCAGGTTTATTTATTTAACTATATTGTACAGTTCCAAATTCAGGTTTATTTATTTATTTATTATTTGTTACAGTCGATCAGTGAAGAAGATGGCCGGCCTTACTGCGCATTTTATGTTGCCTCTGTATATTTTGTTTTAACTTATTTCATCTCATGTGAAGTTAATCCTAAAGAGTTCGTTCATCGAGGTATATTTTCAATGTTTTGTTATTGAATTGATTGTATACAATTTACTATGAACTTATGAAAAACTTTATGTATACGGTTGAGGTATGAGAAAGAGTTATATCTGTACTCAGGTAACACATGTGCACCGCCATTGCTCAGGTAACACATGTGCACCGTTATGATCATGCATACACACACCTGATCATCTAAAATCCCAACCAGGAAATTTTAACAGACAATTGCATACATTTCTACAACAGATACAGTAATGCCAACAGACAGGTACGCACAGAAGGAACTTGAAGTACAGCGTTATATTACAGAACCAATTACAAAAAATATGTAAGGTAAATTTTGTTCCACATGACAAGGAAAATAGCGAGACTTTAATCCCTTGTTGACGACCATCTTTCCTCGAGGCTGCCTGCTGTCCCCGACCACACAGGGAGAGACAGACCGATAGATAAATATAAAGCCACACTGACAGACCGTAGACAGAATGCAGATAGACAGACTGACAGAAAACGGAAAAAAAAACTGACACACACAAACTAGGGAGGGGAGGGGAGGGGATGGAAAGAGAGAGGAGAAAGGGGGGGGGGAGAGAGGGGAGGAGAGAAGAGAAAGGAGGAGAAGAAAAGGAAGAAGGGGGGACTCAGTTCGACATTGGCCGTGAACCATCTGTTGTGTCCGTTGGTCGGTTGTCTACCGTTACTGGCTTCTCCCCTCCCCCCCATCATCCTAACCCCACCACCTCCTCCCTCTCTCCATTGTTCCTTCTCCTGTTGCTCACCCCTCCCTCTCAACCCCTCCCTCTCAACCCCTCCCTTTCAACCCCTCCCTCTTAACCCCTTCCTCACAACCCCTTCCTCACAACCCCTTCCTCACCCCTCCCTCACCCCTCCCTCTCCTTCCTCCCCCCTCCCCTCGACCCCTTCCTAACCCCTCCCTCCCCACCCCTTCCTCACCCCTCCCTACAACCCCTCCCTTACAACCGCTCCTTACAACCCCTCCCTCACAACCCCTTCCTCACCCCTCCCCTTCCTCACCCCTCACCCCCTTCCTCACCCCTCCCTCCCCCCTTCCTCACAACCCCCCCTCCCCCTTCACCCCTCCCTCAAACCCCTCTCCTTCCTCACCCCTCCCTCACCCCTTCCTCATAACCCCTTCCCTCACCCCTCCTCCTCCCTTCCTCACCCCCCTCCCCACTAACCCCTCCCACCCCCTTCAACAACCCCTTCCTCACAACCCCTTCCTCACCCCTCCCTCAAACCCCTTCCTCACCCCTCCCCTAACAATCCCTTCCTCACCTCCTCCCCCTTCCTCACCCCCTCCCTCACCCCTCCCTCAACCCCTTCCTCAACAACCCCTTCTCACAACCCTTCCTCCCCCCCTCCCCTCACAATCCTTCCTCACCCTCCCCTCCCAACCCCTTCCTCACCCTCAACCCCTTCCTCCCCCTTCCCCACCCTTCCCTCCAACCCCTTGCTCACCCCTTCCTCATAACCCCTTCCTCACCCCTCCCTCATAACCCCTTCCTCACCCATCCCTCACAACCCCTTCCTCACCCCTCCCTCATAACCCCTTCCTCACCCCTCCTCCTTCCTCCCTTCCCTCACCCCTCCCTCCCCTTCCTCACCCCTCCCTCAAACCCCTTCCTCACCCCCTCCCTCCTCCCCTTCCTCACCCCTCCCTCATAACCCCTTCCTCACCCCTCCCTCCCCCCCCTTCCTCAAACCCCTTCCTCACTTAACCCCTTCCCCACCCCTCCCCTCCCCTTCCTCCCCCCTTCCTCATAACCCCTTCCTCACCCCTCCTCCCCCCCTTCCTCACCCCTCCCTCCCCCTTCCTCACCCTCCCTTCCCTTCCTCACCCCTCCCAGCCCCCTCCCTCATAACCCCTTCCTCACCCCTCCCTCATAACCCCTTCCTCACCCCTCCCTCACAACCCCTTCCTCACCCATCCCTCACAACCCCTTCCTCACCCATCCCTCACCACCCCTTCCTCACCCATCCCTCACCCTCTCACTCCTTGTGGCAGCAGCTGAGGCGTGACTGTACACTGTGTTGATAATTAAGAAAAATTAACTTCACGAGGCCCTCAGAGGCTGGTGGGCTGTAACCATTAACACCTGCTGTACTATTTACCTGTTTAATTGACCTAGTTTTGTTATAGACGAAGACTAATATCTTTTATGTGAACTAACTAACAACACAATATATAATAACCGACAAGACAATACCAGTACGTGATGTATTTTTAGTGAACTATTTTCGTAAATGATCCTGACTAAATTTTTTTATCCAAAGTTTTCTTGAGAATTTTATTGATATTCCTTTCACTTATTTATGATATTAATATTTAAGTAAAAATCTACATATCTGATGCTTTGTTTACTATATTTAACGAAGTGTTAGTAAAATATTTAACACCTCAGTTTTTGTTTATCATATTAAATGCATGAATCATATTACCATCATATCTTTTACTTCAACCTTTGTAATCAATCTTTAAATAACTTGATATCTGTACATTACCTAACCTTTGTTATCACCTGAGTCACTAATTAGAGATGTGTGTGTTGACAGATATGGGCGAGTGTGGGTGTGTGGAGGGCGGCGGGGTGGTGACGATGGGCCCGGGGGAAGGGTGCCCGTGCCAGTGCCCGCCCACCACGCCCACTTTCAGGGATGACTCCACTACCTGTATCGCCACCCTAGACGGTAATTGTTCTACTGTACGTCTTGCTTAACACACACACACACACACACACACACACGCGCGCGCGCGCGCGCGCGCACAGTAATACCTTTAAACTTCTACCTCTACTTCAGGAAAATAGATAGGAGGACCAACACTTGAGGACCAGTCAGGACAGAGGAGGAGGAGGAGCAGCAGCAGGAGGAGCAGCAGCAGCAGGAGGAGGGAGCAGGAGGAGGAGGAGGAGGAGGAGGAGGAGGAGGAGGAGGAGGAGGAGGAGGAGCAGGAGGAGGAGGAGCAGCAGGAGGAGGAGCAGCAGGAGGAGCAGCAGGAGGAGGAGCAGCAGGAGGAGGAGCAGGAGGAGGAGGAGGAGGAGGAGGAGGAGGAGGAGGAGAAGGAGAAGGAGAAGGAGCAGGAGGAGGAGGAGATGTCGAGTATCACTCACAACATACCTGAGGTCTCTCTCTCTCTCTCTCTCTCTCTCTCTCTCTCTCTCTCTCGCGACATTTCTTCTTCCCGATTTGTTCCCATACATGTCTCTTCTCTCTCCCTTTTCCTCACCTTTTATCGTCTCTTCTCCATCTCCCACTGGCAATCAATCAAGGTTCACGTGACTCATGCCGAAGTAGACCTGGGCGTTATCTTCCCAGCTTTCATTATCCTCAAACAGCTTTCCGGCACCGAGGGAGATTAATTACCGCCGCTGGTTAATTAGGCGAGGTCTAAACGGCATGCTAATGAGACCGCGGTTCTTTAAAAGACGTAATTATAGGTTTCAAACGCACACAGATACAGGCTAGAGGGAGGTGATTATTTCCCCCTATAATCTTGACTCTACCTACTGTATAATCTTTACTCCATCTTATCACGCACGAGAGTTTAGTTTTTAATTATCCACTAAATTTTTGTTTTGTTATTATTCATATCTGTATTTTCCGATTATTAAATTAGGTGTTAAATAGATAACATTGTTTTTACCGGTGTCAGAGGCAAAGGTGTTATCAGGAGTATATGTATAGGTAATTAAGGAGAGAGAGAGAGAGAGAGAGAGAGAGAGAGAGAATTAAAAGTTCGACCTGTAGTGGTGGTGGTGGTGGAAGGCGTAGTAGACGGATGATCTTACCTGGGCCTGAGAGCGGTAGCCTCCCACCTTCACCCACCTCATCCATCACCTCCGGCACTGATCCACGACCCTTAAGGGAGGCTAGGAGACCAAGCATCCACCTCTGAGATATATGAAGGAGGAGTGAGGGGGGTTGAGGGGTGAGACTGATGAACTGAGAGGTGAGGAGGGAGGTGAGGGGTGATGATATAGGGCACAAAAGGACAGTAGAGTTAAGGAAAAGTGGTTAATACTCTCAAAGACAAGATCACAGAGACGACACACAGTGAACCTTGGAAACAACGAGAGTACAGTATAGTTATTCAGGTTTCGATATTTACGTTTCCTTTTAACTCTCTCTGAGCCATCACCCGCGGGAGGTCAAAATAGGATGGTAATTACAGGAAAACTCTTCACAAAAACCTGTAGTGTCTAAGCCCAAACCACGACGATCACATGCAGAAAATCTTGTTACTGATATACTGTATAATCTGCCCTTACGGTGCCTCCTGACGTGTTACCTAAGTGTTGTTACGTCAATATCGTCTCGATGTTAACACCTGATCTCTCACCTGAACACACACCGTAAGTTATACACCCAGCTCTACCGCCTCCAGGAGTGATTACACAATAAGACTGTCCATTATATCCTCAGCTGCCTCTCTCTATCTGGGCGCCGCCTGTCAGCCCGCCACGCCGTCCTCCCTCCTGTCTCGAAGAACCAGCTAAATAAATTCCTCAAAACCGGTCGTCTTGTCCAGCAGGTTGGGTGAGGTGGGTGGCCAGAACAGCCAAGTCTTACAAAATAACGGAGTAATAGTACCACCTCAGTTTATTTACAGTAGCTCGTAGCGTGAAGGAGCTGGGGTGAAGCTCTTTATTTCGAATTCAAATAGTAAGCAAGAATCCTTATGTGTTGTAAAGTACCAGCCTCTAAATAAAAGCTATTTGATGTGTTGATAAACTATGACTCAGCAACACGCCCTTGTCTTCATCAGTTGATACTTTTTGATCTTCATAAAAGACTTTGATTTATTAATACGAAAAACAATTCCTGTACAGCTGCTGGTTGCGACAAAATATGTATACACGACTGAAAAGGCAAGAGTGAGAATCGAAGATACAGGAAGTTACATAGACTGTCAGACGGACGAACTGTGAATAATGTAACACAACACACAGCCAACGAGGAAACATTAAATACAAGATTAAAGACGAAGTTACTATAAAATTGTCCCTAGTGGCGGTGACGCGAACTAAGAGGTACTCGCCAGACCTCCAACAGAGAAACAATTGGATAAACGGAACGATCCAGTTTGTTAATACCGCGTCAGTGTGAGTAACAGCTGCAGGGAGGTGACGGGCAAACAGTCCCCTGGTGATCTTACGGCGTGTGTGCCTGTGGGAGGAGGTGGCGGGGGGACAGGAGACCAAGGAGAAGATAAAGTTGAAGGAGGAACCAATGGACTCAAGACTTACCCTCACCTGACACACTACTGACGAGAAAAAAAAATGAAAACATTGAAACAGATGAACAGTAAAGACGGAGTAAACACTTGAAAAAAAAAGAGGGATGTGAATAAACATTAAGGTGAGTACACAGCTGTTGCCTCGTACTCTACCTGGACTCTGAATGAATGAGACGACCCAGGAGGCGTGACCGTGACCTCATACGTGTCGCTCGGTTCTCACGCAACACAGTTAAAGTAAGGAGTAATGACAAAGGCTCCAGTCCGGTGTGGCAAGGCTGTCGTATAGTCATTGAAGGTGTGGGTGTGTCCTGCTGGGTGAGGCGCTACAAAGTCCCCAAATGCGAAAGCGAAATGCAACGTCATTTTTACATTGTGTGTTGTGTGTGTGTGTGTGTGACTTACGGGTGCTGACTCCACTACACCTGTCTCCAGTGTACTGTTATCATTTTATATTTATTTTATTTATTATCGAAGTAATTTCCTAAACTAAGTCTTTTAAGTGTAGGCCAGGTAGGTGTGTGGCGTGGCAGGTACTGGACAGTGACACACACACACGTGGCCATAATATACTCACACCTTGTTCACTCATCTTCACTACACGAGTCTATAATCACACCAGTGCCTAAAACATCTCATCATTCGTCAGTGTCAACCAACAACAAGGCGATAACTGTGTATTCTCGAGGATGATGAAGACACGGCTCCACAACTAACCTAACCTAACACTACCCTGAAATAAGGACGTAGGCAGCAGCAAGAGGAAGATGGTTAGGAATTGATAATTTCTAGTTTAGTTTACGGGCAACTTGCCAATAACTTTGTGGTCAGGTTTTGGCCTGCCGGCGAGTGGTAGAATGAGGGAGAAGATTTGTTAATTCTCTTCTCCCTCCCTCCCTCCCTCCCTCCCTCCCTCTCTCTCCCCCACTCCCTCCCTCCCCCACTCCCTCCCTCTCCCCCACTCCCTTCCTCTCCCCCACTCCCTTCCTCTCCCCCACTCCCTCTCAATACCTGGGTGCTGGAAGCGAGGGTGGAGACAAGCAGAAGCGGCCGACGAAGATCACTGGCAAGAGGTATGCAGAGATCCTGAACACACATAACATAAACAATAACACACACACGCACACACAATAACACAACTGTTGTAGGTTGTGAGCTTGAGAAGATGTTGTGTGATGCACTGATAGAAACAGTGACTCACAAGATGGCCATTACTCAAGTCATATACCTCAAGTTTTACCTCAAGCTTAACCTCAAGTTTTACCTCAAGATCCACCTCAAGATCCACCTCAAGATCCACCTCAAGTTCACCTCAAGTTCGAACTCAAGTTATACCTCAATGCTGTGATTGGTTAAGAATTAGTGATTTATGAGTTTTTCTTTTGTTAAGATTCTAAGCATAGTATCTTAGCATTGACGAGAGAGAGAGAGAGAGAGAGATTTTCGAGATTTTCCTTGCCCCCGTGGTCCACAGGTCAGGCTGGCGGGGACAGGGAATTAGCTTCACCAGTACCGATATGATCACCCGCTGCAACAACCGTCAGGGTAAGGCCGGTATTACCCCCAGGTGCATTATGTTTACACTGCTGGTATAACGCTACTCTGGCCCACTGTGTGTGTGTGTGTGTGTGTGTGTGTGTGTGTGTGTGTGCGTGCGTGTGTGTGTGTGTGTAAAACAAAACGAATGACCCATAGAGCTAACCTAACTACTGTAGATCAAAGGTCAAATCATATTCTTATATACAGCATAAGGTCAAAACAGCCTCAACTACGGCCCATACGTAAGTTAACTCACAACTACACAACACCGTCATAACTGGATACTGAATATGAACTTAGACATTAGAACTAGTTGGTAAATGGAAAATTAACCTGAGGTGTATTTACTTAAGCTGTATTTTGGAGGGAACAAAATTTACAACCCCCTAAATCTGACGATGATCCTATTATCTTTGAGATCGGTTATATACAGTATAATCGGAAACTACAATTATAGATAATCCTTTGATCTTCTGAATAATGTATAAGCCGATAATTGATCTCGGGATAAACACAATGACTTGACGCCAGATTTTTCAGGGCAGGAGATAATTTGTCACTTGTAAATCAGTGCCATAAAAAATAACACGGCCACAGCAACACACAGGCCGGCCCTAGGGCCACCTTGGCGTGAATTTGTTTAAGGTGTAGAAGCAGCCGTCAACACAACAACCACACCCTGAGTGAACGAGTTGCATGAATCAGTGTCAAGGAATTGTCCGAGAAGACCGGACAACTCACCAACTGCACTGGCTAACCATTACCCCGGAATACAATCCGGGGGTCGAACTCGGGTGCACTCGCTTGCTGACCATTACACAGTAGGTCGCCACATACATACATTACTTACATACATACATCATAAAACACAACTCAATAATAAATACATCAGGAGTCTCATACATTACATATC